CGGGGCGGGGTGGTTCTGGAGCGCGGTGTGGCCACACGAGCTTCGGGGCTGTTGCTCTGCCCGGCTCTGCTCCGCACGCTCCAACTAAGGATTTCGGTCGGAAGGTCGCGGAGTGACGCGGCGGGGGATGTGATGTAGGTCGGCGTGGTCGGCCCGCGGGGCGGTCCTTTGAGTGCGCGAGCCGGGCGGGCGCGAGGTGCGCGGCGACAGCAGGCGACAGGACTTCAAAGCAGGAAATGCCACCGCTGTCGCTAAATTTGCCGCTTTTCTACGATGAATCAGCGTCAGGGGATGTCCCGGGGTGTCCAGGAAACGTACCCCAGATAACGTACCCCTTGGTACGTACCCTGGATAACGTACCCCAGGGTACGAACCCCGGATAACGTACCCCACACCCGGGGATCATTCCTAGGGCACGGGGCACGTTACCTGGAGTACACGTACCCTGGGGTACGTTACCGACCGAGGTACGTACCTCGGTTCCCTTGCTGGTCGATCCGAATACCGCTACCCTTCCGTTCGGCAGAGGCAGAGTGACATGTTGCGGTTGAGCATGACGCCGCAGCACGCGTCAAGCCCCGCCGCGCCGCGCCTCACTCGCCTCACTCCCGATACCCGCCTGTGGCGCCGCCGCCCGGCAAAGACAACACCTGTCAGATCAGCCGGCGCGTGGCGCGGGCGGGGCGGGCGGGGCCCTCGGAGGGCTCAGGGCGCTCGAGGGCTGCAAAAACAATACGGCACAATCAGCGCGGGGAGGAGGGGCGGGCGCCGGGCGCTGGCGCCGCTGAGCGCACGCGCGTGCCTGCGTGTGGGTGCAGGTGTCACTAGTTGCTTCATCGCGAGCGAGCCGAGCCCGGCCGTTCAGTATGGGACTGAGAAACAACTTATACTCGGCCACGTGTGTGTGTGTGTGTGTGAGTGTGTGTGTTGTGAGTGTGTGTGTGCGCGCGCGCTTGCGCCCGGCCTACGCTTAGTTTTGTGCGACTTCGTGCGTGCGCGTTGGTGGTGTGCGTGAGCTACTCGGCCGGGAAATAGATTAGTCGACGCCCCAGGTTTCGTTCCCAGAGAGGGAGAGGGCGTGCAAGTGAGGGGCTAAGGGGCGCGGGAGGGAGGAGGGGGAAGGGGTGCAAAACGCACCCTCTTCAGTCGATGAAAGTAAGCAGAGCAGATGACT